GTGGTCGGTCCCCTTATGCAGCTGAGCGGTAAGGTTTAGGGAGAAATGAGCTGAATCCTAACATGTATTCTCAGCATAAGCTGGAAACTCACTCTAGGCTGTGTTTACATCAAAATGAACTAGAGTTAAAGACAGAGTCGTCGAGATTAATATGAGCTGAGGATTTTTGCCTCGTCTTCATTCCTAATAAGAAGGTACCTTTCTTACATAATTGATGGATAGGCTTCATGACTTGCAGACTTCTATTTTTTAACTGTTGGTTTAGCTGTTACTATTTTACCAATTCCCAGATCCATTCTCATGCCATTAATAATGCCAGAGAGCAGCTGTGTTAAAGCTGAGGCTGTCTCCTGACTTTACTAGCCTTTGAGGTCACCAACTATAAGTAGTTCAAAGGGATTCTGCTCCCTTCAAGGTCTGATGTTTCTCCCACCTGTTATACTCTTAGGGCAGCTCCCAACTTCATTTACTAATATAATCCTTCTGCATTTATTCCTCTGGTTGTTCTTCTATTTTTCCAATGAATATTGTCATTCTCTCATCTTTGTAATATTCATCTATCTTAACCTCGATTACTAAAATGTCTTTCCAGGATCACATCGCACACTCCTAATTTTTAGGATTCTCATGTAATGGTTCAACCAATAAGCTGCTCCTGCCTTGTAAAAATCAGCTTTGGAGGCTTCCTCTTGAGTTTATCTGTTCCTTCTTCAGCCGTTCTGGTATATTTCAGCCTATTGATAAGTTCTCCATTGGCAATATGTTAAGATTTTCCAGTTATGTCCCTTATGAGAGAAGACATAAAAAGAAAGCTAGGAACCGTATGAACACACAAGTACAAACAAGTAAGTGCTTTTGATATTGCATCAAATATGGTACCAAATGCCCCGATCTGGTGTTCATGAGTTTGATATCAATTCTGACATTTTGATGTTCTAAATCAAAGATGTGGCTAAGATCACAGTTACTATGGAGACCTCAAAAAGAATGGCTGACCTTTAATGAGTTCTTTGTATCATCAATGAAAGATACATGAAAAAGAAAGGTATTTAAGATGCCCAATATTTCATTGAGAATTTCTTTTTACTAAGATTTTGTGAGATCCAGGTTTATATTCTTTTGTGCCTGATATGAATAGTTCCTTATTATTAATATTAAATACCATTTAGTATTAAAGAATTCCTAATATAACTTTTGTTTGTTTCCCAAGCTTTCCAGGGTTTTATTATTTGGTTATGCATTTGAAACAATTTGTAAAAGTAATCGTCAGTCATTGATGTCAGAGGCATAGAAAAACAGCTATTTTTGTTTACCTAACCAGCCCAACTTAGGCTTTGTAGCATTTTAAACTAGGGAGAAATGTTACTCACTGTAAGTTGGGCTTCAACCAGGAGAGCACTGCCATTAGCTACTGCCTCTTACAAGCTATGAATGCCTGTCTTAGAAGAGAGACACATAAGTTAGGAGCACAGACTCAAAAGGATCAAATGGAAAGCTCAGAGAATAAGTGGTACAATCTGTAAGTAAAATTCCAGCACTCCTCCTTTGCTCATTCAGAAATGGATGTTTCTGACTCATTCACCTTATCTGAATGGGGACTTCCTACTTTAATATATACAATCTTTGATGAGAAAGATGGTTCTTCCTAACCATTAAGCTTTCAGAAAAAAAAAAAATCTTCCTACAGAAATATACCTGCCATCTTTTTCTTTTTCTTTTCCCCACTGTGCCCAGAGGCCTTGATAAATATATGCAATACACACACACAATAGTATGAATGCTTTTTTAAATGTTTATTTATTTATTTGTTTTGAGAGAGAGAGACACATACACACAGCATGAGCAGGGGAGGGGCAGAGAGAGAAGGAGAGAGAATCCCAAGCAGGCCTCTTGCTGTCATTGCAGATAGCACTGATGCAGACTCTTCCCATGAACTGTGAGATCATGACCTGAGCTGAAATCAAGAGTTGTATGCTCAATTAACTGAGCCACCCAGGCACCCTTATATTTGTTTTCTGTTGATGTATAACAAATTACTACAAACCTAGCACCTTAAACAGTACATATTTATCATCTCACAGTTTCTGTGGGACAGGATTTTGGACATGGATTAGTTTGCTTTTCTTCTCTGGCTCTCATTGGACTTCACTTCAGATATCAGCAGGGCTGGGTTCTCATCTGGAAGGTCGTCTTGGGATGAATCTACTTCCAAGCTCATTCAAGCTTAGACAGAATTCATTTTGTTGTGGCTATATGACCAAGGCCTGTAGGTCCTGTAGGCTCTCTCAACTTTTTCCTACCTGGGCCTCTCCATAAATGGCTCACACTGTCACAGTTTGCTTCATTTAGGCAGACAGAAGAGTGAGAGTGGAACATTTTGGAATTCTCTAGGCTCTGGTGTTAAAAAAAAATGAGAGCTGATCTTTTGCTAACAGGCCACATCAAGGAGCAAGAGCTTTATTTGGGGTTTTGCTGCAGCCAGTCTAAAACCACGAATTGTAAAGATTCCTCTGCAGTACATTTCTCTGCACCAGTCGCCTATGTATTCTGGAACTCACAGAAGAATTGGCATAATTAATCATACATCAATTTCAGTTCATGGGCTTATATCTATTAATCCTTTACTTCCTAAACTTCCTGATATTTCCAACTTGTGACATCTGTAAAGATACATACCAGCCCTCTTCTCTATTCCTCTACTACTTAACTTCCATCCTCACCCCCCAGGTAATTTCACTCATTTCTGTGACCTCAGAGCCAATCTATTATGCCAGTGATTCGTAAAACCATCTATGTAAAGCCCAGACTTCTCTTTCCATATAAAGTCCTACATCACAATTGACCTCCAACATTTTACTAAGATGTACTGCAGGTAGCTGAATCTAAATAGTCCAAAACTTAATTCATCACATTCTTTCCCCTCTCTCACTCACACCTACCAGTTCTGATCCTCTTCCTCTCACTAAAAAACAATACCATCCACTCAGTAGCTCACTTCACCAGCATGGGACTCCTTTGCTCTTTTCTCTTCCTTACCGTTTTCAAATTAACAAATACTGGCATTTCAACCTGAGCCTCATTTAAAATGTTAATGATGAATGTTGCATATTTTCAGCACAGATATATAAAGTATAATCATAAAATTAAACCCATAAACCCATCACCCAAATTAAATAATAAAGTAACTGTTAGTTTGTGTTGAATTTCACTTTCTGTTTGTCTGTAGAGCATCCTAGTTCTCCCCCAGAGTTAGTTACTATTCTAAAGGCTGTGTTCATCATTGTCTTCTTCTATGTATCCCCCAACAACATGTTTAACAATGCCTGGTTTTGAATTCTATAAAAATGGTCTTCTAATGTATGCTTTCAACAACTTGCTTTTTTCACTTAACACTATGACTTGAGATTTGTCCATCTTACCGCATGTAGAAGTAGTTAACTTGAAATTTGTGAAGTATAACAGTATAACATTTTATAAATATATAACAGCTTAATAGTGGTCATTTGTGTTTTAATTTGTCCTTTATTATAATGCTCCTATGAAATTGTACATACTCTCCATTCACATGACATGAACAAGTGTCTTAATTTATGGATTGTAGTACATGCATATTTCCAACTTTACAAGTTAATGCTAAGTTATTTTCCAGGGTATAGATTAAAAATTTAAACTCCTGCTTGCGGTGTTTAGAGTTCTTATTGTACATATCCTGACCAACATTTGCTTTTTTAAGACATTTATTTTTATTAATATGGTAGGTGTGCTGTGGTTTAATTTTAATTTCTCTGAAATTTAGTGTAGGTGGATATATTTTTATTTATTGTTGGCAATTTGTTTTCTGTGAAATAAATGTGTCCATATTTTTGTCCATTTTTCTTTCTTTTTTTAAGTTTATTTATTTTGAGTGAGAGAGAGCGAGCAAGCGGGGAAGGGCCAGAGAGGGAGGGAGAGAGAATCCCAAGCATCCGATGTAAGGCTCAATCTCATAAACTGTGAGATCATGACCAGAGCCAAAATCAAGAGTAGGACACTTAACCAACTGAACTACCCGGGTGTCTCTGTCCATTTTGCCATTAGGTTGTTTGCCATTTCTTAGTGAATGTTATAGTGAAGTCCCATATATATGTGGATTAACATTATTTTCCAGTTATGAATGTGCAAATCTTATTCCACCAAATAGTGGCTCTTTCTTACATATTTGTAATCAACAGAAGAGTTCTTTCTTTTGATCAGTTGTTAATTTTAATGTAAATTAGGTAGTCCTTATTTTTTTTATATTAAGTGATTTTGTGTCTCATTTAAGAAATTAATTTACACCCCCAAAATCAGAGATATCCTATAATTTGTTGTAAAATTTTAAAATATTTCTTCAACATTTAAGATTTTAACCCATCTGGGATTGAATTTTGTGTATGGTGTGATGTAAGAGGCAATTTATTTTTTACAATTAGAAAGTGATTACTCAGTTATCATTGATTGCACAATGTGTCAGTTTCCCCATTTTGAGTCATGTTTTTATAATACATTGGTGGGTCTACTCCTTGGCTGTCTTTTGCTGGTATATTTTCTAAGCTTGCGCCAAAATCATACCATGAAATCTGTGGCTTTAGTGTAAGTCTGGATATCCAAATAGAGCAAGTCCACCATTCTTGCTTTGCTTCAAGAATGTCCTGTTTTTTTCTGTTTCCTGTATGTATGTTTATGTAAATGTATGTGTGTATATATATATTTTTTTAACTGTCATACCCTATCAAAAATCATGTTGAGTTTTCATTAAATTTGTGTTGTAAGTATAAATATGTTTGTATAGAAAGGACAATTTCACATTATTGCATCTCCATACTGAACATGGAATACTTATATATAATAAGTTGCTAAACTCTTTAATTCTAATAATTGGCCTTTTGAGCTTTTCATGTGGATAATCATGTCATTTGCTATTTATGACAGTTTTGTTTCTTCCTTTCTAATACCTAAGACTTATTTTTCTTGCTTTACAGACAGCTTCAGGACATCTAAGATAAGGTAAGAGGAAGTAGTGATAATTTACCTCTATCTTATCTTTTTTCTTACAGTTTAACTTACAGCTTTGTTAATACAGTCACTTAATTTATATTTCATTAATTTCTGATACTTCCTTTTTGTACTTTTCAGTTTTTTAAGCATTTTCTAACTTCTTAAGTTGAATAAGTAATTAATTTTCAAAGTTTTAAATTCTGAGATCAATATAAAAGGCTATAGATTTCCTTTTGACAGTTTTTTTGGTTGCATCCCATAAGATTTGCAATATTAGTAATAATACTAATTAGGTCTAAATATTTTCTAATTTCTGTTAAAAAATTTGCTTTGACCCATGAGTTGTTTATGCAATGTATGATTTAAAAATTTTTAACATATTTTTGGGTTTGATTTACAAATGTACTAAATTTTAGCAATTTAGACATGAAATAATTTAGAATTAAGCAGTTTTTATCAGTGTATATTGACTCTGTATTTTTCAAGACTTTATGAAGCAACATGTTCAATGTATTCTTTAAATGGTAAGTTTATTACAGAAGTTGGGTACACAGTTCTTAACATTTGTTTTACACATACGTGTTATTTGTTAAACAAAACCTAGTTTAATAGTGTTGTTAAAAGCTTTTATACCATTACTGATTATTTCATCTTGGTATAATAGTTGTAAACAGTGTTGAAATATCTCATTTTGATGTCAGATTTTCACTTCATGTATTTTGAAGCTATATTATTATTTAGAAGTTTAAAATTATTGCATCTTCCTGACGAATTGAAGAATTTATTATATTATTACCTTTTTCATTTCTAGCAATGGGGTTTTTGCCTTAAAAATCCATCTATGATAATAATATTGCACAGTATTTTTTCTAGATTATCCTTTTTCTTGAAGTAGCTCTTTACGAATCCAAGTTCCACGTGGAGGTTGGTGAGGGGTGGATATATAGAGCAAGGCTTTGTCTTTTGTCTCCCACATGTGTCAGCAATTAAAATCTCAGCTCTAGGTTACTCAAGATCAGTAGACACACCCGGGGCAGCATTTAACCTTCACTGCTTACTAACTTCAATGGATTCATGTCCATACTTCATTTCTGATCCCAGAGCATTTGCATTTTCCTTTCCTACTGGAAAACTAATTTAATAAATATTAAAGAAAAATATATACATACACACACACACACTGTATACCTACAGAAACACATATACAATTATTGAGGTATGTTGATTAAGAGTTTTAGCCATCATCTGTCATACTGCCAGAAATGGATGTCCTGCATTTCAGTATCTTTTAAATACATTCAATTCTCACCATCTATGCAGCCACAAATCTCATTTAGGTGCCCACTTGTTTTTATGCCTTTTTTCCCTTCCAATAATTTCTCCTACAGCCTGAGTATATTTTCTGAAACACACATACGTTGGTGTCACTCCCTCTTGTTCTTAGCATTAAGGACTGGATTATTTAGTATGGCCATATGCTCTTGATGACTTAAACTGCTTATATCTCCATATTCCTGCCTCACATGAATGGCCACCCAACTCCAAAATATCTGATTCTGCTACAGAAATTACTATCTGCCTTTGTGGAGCAATTTTTTGCTCTATAAACATTATCTTAGCTGATTCTTACAAAAATATTATTATCCCCATTTTACAGGGAGAAATAGAAATGGCAAGTGACTTAACCAAAGTTACTATTAATTGGAGGAATTGAGATTTCAACTTATATCTGGCTGAGTTCAAAGTTGCTTATACTAATTTCTGATCCTCCTATAGTTCCTTTTCTATTTTGGGGCCTTTGTTCCTCTTCCTGGAACACATCTTGTGCTTCCTTCACCATCATGCCTTTTTTAATCCTTCAGGTCTTCCTTGATCAAGTGCCCTTTTTAATGTGCCTTTTTATTCTGTCATAACATCTCAGTTTCTTTCCTTTCTGCATTTCCCTTTACACTCCAGGCTGTGTGACAGCAGAGACTAAATCTACTTTCTCCCATTGACATCTTTAGGACCTTGACATATATTTTCTAAAAAATTTCTCATATACTAGTTCAAAAAACTTTGATGTAAATTAAGAAAAGGGATTTTGTTTTGTGATAAATCAAAATGGGAATTTTTTTCTTCTTTTTTTCTTTTTTTTGATCACGTTAACTTTTAATACAACCTTTCACTTTCTTTTGTTTAAAAATAACCATATTTTTATGTAGTTATTAGTAATCTGTCCTCAGACATTCTGCCAAAGTGGTAAAGCATTATAATCAAATACAGCAATTAAGATATTTCTTTTTTTTTTAATTCAGGAGAACCATTCACTAGTTCCCAGGTCAAAGAAAATACCATTTTTATTTACTGTTTTTAGTGTAAAGCTGCTTCCCCTGCTTGAGATTTTATAAATATAAAAGTGGAAGCTACATATTAAGAGCCCAAATGATATATAAGCCCATACAGTGGTTGTTTAATTGCATGTTGGACAATATTTTCAATATTTGTAATATTTTAAGAGAATGAATTTCATAAAATGAAATTCTAAGCATTATATTCTATTTCTGTTACACTGTTGCTTGACTAACAATTCAGATAAATGTGGTTAGTACATTCTTGCCACTTTTATGAGAAAAACATGTATTTTCATCAGAAAAAAGTAAAAATATTTGTGAGTCTCCTTTAGGCATTAATACTTCATTTGCCTTTTATTTTTGAAATTTTTGTCAGACTAAACATTTCTTTCCATATGAAATATGTAATACTAGATGGAATTTACCTTTAGAATTCAAGAAATTATTTTTTTAAGTAGAGCCAGTTAAAACTGGTATGACCAATTGGTAAATTTATTTTTTATTTTCATTGTTTTTCTTCTTAGTGAAGTTAAGGATATATATTTTTTCAGACCCACCAATTCACTTCTAATTATATACCATAGAAAAGGCATGATTAGCTATATTAGGATATCTATGCACAAATGCTATAGCATCTTTATTTATAATAGCCAAAACTGTAAATACTCAAAATGTGCATCATCAATAGAATAGAAAAATAAAAGTATATTCATACATTGGATTATTAACAGCAATTAAAATGAATGAAAGATATACTTAACAACAAAGAAATCTTAAAAGCCTAACACTGAATGAAAGAAGTCACACCCAATAAATATATATTTATGATTCCATTTATGTAAAGTTCACAACAGGCAAAACTTAATTAAATTATTTAGTGATACATTTTTAGGTGGTAAAACTATAAAAAAAGGCAAAGAAAGTGTTATCATGAACACCCAGACAGAGTGGGAGGGAAGGTGTTGTAATTGGGTAGGCTGTTGGCAAACTTCTATTTTGTAACCTGGTGGTGCTTACAGAGTAGTTTGTTATAATTAGTTAGTTTAATAATTAGTTTATTATAATTCATTAAATTATGCACTTCAATTTTCTATACTATCCTTTATATTTGCACATTTCACAATAAAGTTTGGATGAGACTGAAGTAAATTTTAATTTCTTTTTGCTCTAAGTCTACAGCATTACTTAAAGTTGAACTGAACTTAGCAATTTCTGTCAACATTTAGTACATGCTTACTGCTCAGGGAGGAAATTACTTTATTGAGGAATAAAAAGATAAAGTTTGTTTTGGCTAAAGGAGAGCCTGCTTTCTTTATTAGCAGATGTATAGAATACTAGTTTTCCATTGATGTGAGAGGCTGGGTTGAGATAGTAAAAAAAAAAGTTTCCCTATGGACAGTGGTCAGTTTTGCAAACGAAGGCTGTAGAATAGAGGTTTGTTTTTATACAAAGTTAATTTGGCTAGTCATTTTAATGCCTGATATTCCTTTATTACTGTCATGTTCTAAGGAAATCTGTATTTCTATCAGACATAAATAGGAACAACTTTGACATCCTTATTTTACCAGCCATTCAGTATATGGAATAAATTAGAGAAGAGTCCTAACAGTGTTAGAATGATTTGGTGACAATCCTGTACTGCTTCTTACTTTTCTGCAAGATAGAAAAACAAACCTATTAATTTATTAAGTAAATTGATCAACTATTTTGTGGTTCACCGTGCTTAGAGCTAAGAATATAAACATAAAACGGAAATGCTTTCTGTCTTTAACTTGCTTAAAATACTTATTTCTTATCACTTGGGCTTTTGAAATTTAGTATTTTAGCTGTTGTGCTTTCAACTGTTGCAATTTAAAGAAGTATATTGTTGGCTCCATTTAATTTTAATTGTTTCCTATACCTACCTGAATTATAACTTTCATACTCAATAGTAAATATCTTAAGTGACTGGGTCACTTTGTTTACCTTAGCCTGAATGGGAAAATTGTGTTCTGAAAATAAAAAAAAAGTTCATGGTTTTTGAGAAATATTTATGAAATTTGGGTGGAAGTAGGAGGGAAGAAGATGGTACATTCAGTTTTGGACATGTACTTTCAGATAGTTGTGGGACATTCAAGCAAAGAAGACGAGTAGTTAAAAAAATAGTATTGACTGAAGCTCATTAGAAAGACAGTAGTTGAAGATTTATCCCTTGGATTAGATTCTTCCACGTGGAGGTGGTAAGTGAAGCTACAAGCAAATAGATAGCAGTTGAACCTACAAATTATATCCCTCAGTAGAAGGTATAGAATGATAAGCGCCAAGGGCATAAGAGATAGCCCTGCAGACCTTAATATGTAGGGAAATGGCAGTGAGAGAGGAGTCTACAAAGACAATGACAGAATGTTGTATTGTTGAACCAAGAAAATTGTTTTCAAAGAGAGGAATTAGAAATATCAAGTTTTACAAGTAAAATAAGGTAAGAGTAGATTTAGAAATGAGACATTCATTCATGACTTTAACAAGAACAGTTTCAGGAAATTCTTTGGGGTGGTTTCCAGACTGCAGTGGATTGAGGAATGCTTAGAAAGTCAGGGAAGAGTAAAACAGTGACTCTAAGCCACTTTTTCAAAAAGTTTGCCTATAGAAGGAAGAGATAGGAAAGATTTTAAACGGTGACTTGAGGATGAGGGTGTG